GCTTTTAAAGTCAGCAACTTACCCGTAAAAAGCTTTCATGGGCAAGTACGTGGGAAATAGGCATACATGGGGATTGAATTTGAAATCATTAAGTTCTTCGTGGACCGGAACATCCTCTAAAAATTTCAACTTTCTAGCTTTTCTGGTTTCCGAGTTAGCAGCTTGCTTGTTTAGAACTTTGGCGGGCCCGTACGTAAGTACAACGCGGATAAGAGCGCCCATTTTGGGGATCGACGCCTGTACGTGCATGTAGATTATGGTCACAAAGTTTCAGGTTTGTAGCTTTTGTAGGTCTTGAAATGAAACATCTGAACACACAGACTCACACACATACAGGCAACCTCTCGACAGTATGCGTTTTTGCATTGCATAGATTCCAAAAACCCATAAAAATCAAGATCTCTGAATTACAGTAATATCTTCGATGCTTACGTTTTCCAACTGTCACCATGGAAATAGCAGCTCATGTGCTTTCGCCAATATTCGCAATCCACAGCACACATCGGAGCAGTCATTTTTGTGAGTATTCTCATTTGTTTTGTATCTAACATTTTTGGGAAATATTGAACCGTAACGGTCATGCTAGTTTTCTCAGTATCGCTGTGTTGAAGATAATGACGAACAGACACGAAACATGATTACTGACGAAAGCTGGATGGAGTACGCTAGCTGTAATGGAGGAAACAAGTGGGGTGTCGATTCACGACCATATAAGCAGTCAGGTTTTTCGTTAGATAAGAAGAGTGCAGGACCACATAAGAAAGTAAAATCCGATGAGCAGGACATGCTACTTGCCTTGCTAGCAACTAGCGAAAGTCGCGCATTAGTGACTGATATCCTCGAGAAAGTAAACGGTAGTCCCCAAAGAGGTGCCTTATGTACCTTGAACGAGTAATGAGTACTCAGTGAAAATATGCAGCCTGAGATCAAAGGCCCTAATATTAGCTACGTCCAGTGTATGGTAACATCCCAGTAATATCATTTAGAACAATCGCTGCGTTTGTCGGTAAAATTTTCGTATTCTTGAATTTTTTCAAATTTAACTTGATTTTCCGTAACGGCGTATTTTGGGCATGTTTCAGATATGTAGCGGTTTTTAGACATTTCTTTCGTTAGTAGCTGGATCCAGTGCACTGCCCTTTATCGTTTGGACTGAATGTTTTGCAGCCTGACAGCTTTGTCCACATCAATGCTTTGTGAAGCTGCTGTCGATGAGCGAATCGTCTGTCCACTGCTCACTTATTTGCTGCGGGCAATTGCGGTAAATATGAATGCACAATTTTTAAATGACGAGTTCCTGGATCATTTGGATTTCGTAAGTATTTCATATCTTTTTATATATTTCTAAAATTTGTTAATCTGTTATCCAAGCCTTTGCACTTTACGCTTCACGATTTTTGTGTTTCTTTATATACATTTATTTATGGCATTCTGGAATAAAACTTTTAGGCTACCGGAGATGATCGTGGCTGGCTTGTAAAAGCAATGCTAAATCAATTATCCAGAGACTGTGCTGCCTATCAATGCGTGGTATGTTTCGAGTTGCTTACATATTTTGTTGGTGTTTTTTTTAATACTAGTTACTAAGTTAATTATTAGACTTAAGCAAAATTATGAACACTATTCAAAGAGCTAACAGTGAGGTGTACAGGAATTATTGAAGGCTGGAATCTTTGGTCTATATAAAAAAATAATAATTTAGCTGAAACCAAGACATTTCGACCGATTAAATTGCACATTTCAACTCAGCGCTATAACTGGGCCTCGTGATTAAAATGTATGTAGCATAATTTATTATTAAAAAACTAGCAAAAAAAAGTTCTGGAGATTAATAAGAACAAAACGACATTATAGGAGCTGTTTGGGAAAATAAGCAACGAAGGTAACTAACTTCGGTTCTCATATATTTTGTAAATGAGCTTATAATATCGAAAAGACAGTATTTGACCTGTGTTTCTTACATTATAAATAGGCTTACAGTAAGGAATAGTAAAGAATAAATGTCGTGAAATATGCATAATTTTGGTCTTTTTCTAATTTATAGCCTAGTTTGTAACATTCCCTTTTTCTTTCTAATTTCATACGTTTCTTACGCATTCTCATTTTTCTTAATTTTTTATTTGCTGCACCAAAGTTGTCGCATTGGCATATGCCAGAAGGTTATGCGTTTTTCAAATTGCTTTTTAATAGCCCTCGAAAAAGGGTCCTATTGATGGCCTAGTGAACATTCGTTTTGATGGTAAATTGGTACTGGCATTTGCCCGGAAATCGAACGAACCATCGGCTTGCTTTTAAACAGTCCTTTAAAGATAGAATCATCGACAGTATTGCTAGCGATATGGTTGCTCTTTGCATTTCTACCACTTGTGTTCTGCGTATGAATACCGTAGGAGAGACGAAGGAGAGGGAGGGATGGTTCGTTCGACTTTGACTTTTGACATTTAGTATGCAGAGTTCTTCTAACTCAGAATCGCTCGTTAAACGGCATGAACTGGTTGGTTTCAAGTATTTACAGCGCAATGATCGAGTGTGGATCAGTTTACGAAGGAGTTTCTTTGAACTCTGGGATTATGCCCCGCAGGATGTGCGTACAATAGCTGCTCTGGCATTTATGGGACCGCGAGGTGTAAGCAGTATTATGCGGATCAAAATGTATTCTATTGTTAAAGGTATGTGTATTGGAATATTGATGGAGCATTGCAGTAACAACCAGTATTTGTGGATTATCAGTTAAGGGACGACTGAAGCGAAAGTAAAAATCGGCAGAATAGGTAAGGGAAGTGGAAAAAGCAAGGATATTTCTGAACACAAGAGTGTTTCGCCCCACTATGTGACATAGTATAACATTTTAAATAGAACAACTGGACCTCGCATGCCAAGAGTTTCGAAGTGATAGACAGAAGGGAGCCGCAAGCAGCAGTTCTGGTCTCCCCTGCATTTTTTTAACATTGCATGGGTACCATTCCAAAAATTCTCTTTGTCCATCTGTTGTCTCTTACTCTTATAACACATGACCAGCCCACTCCGTTTTCCTACCGGATCTTGTTTTGATAGCATTCGTAGGCGAGTCCAGGGCAGTTTTGCGGAGGAGTGAGGGAGGGGGGAAGGGGGCGATCTGGGTGATTTTCCCCTTCCCTCTCCCCCTGTGGGC